TATATATATATATATATATATATATATATATTCAATAGAGAGCCTGTAAATATGGTCATAATGTAATAATAATATTAAGTAATTATTATTATCATAAGTATTTCAACACAATACAATTATTACAATTTCAAATGTTTCAGATATTAATAAGTTATTTAAATATAAGCTTGAAATATTTTGGACAATAATTATATTTATAGAAATAAATTGTGTAATTTTATTTTGTGTTCAATTTTTTTGTATTTATTTAAGGGCATACTAATAATCTTCATGTAGTAGTCTGGGTCTTAAGCTCAAATGAGATTTCCGAGTTGATAGATAAGGAGAGAGGTACTTGCAAAAGACAATTCGACGCTCAAGTTAAGATAAACACGAATATCGATAGTAGCAATAAATAAACAGTAGTTTTATCTATTTTGTGTAACTATTTATATTGACCATAATGGGTTTAGATTTGACGGGCCTTTGTTCTCTTGATTACCAATTAAGTAGTGCGATTGCTAATGACGGATTATCCCTTAATCTCACGTACCTTCTTCATTAATAATGTGATTTACCATATAACAAGACTTAGTGGTGTCATCGTCTCGGCAGTCTCGGCCTTTGGTTTGGCCGAGATGATAAAGGTCACCTTTGGAAGCGAGGGTCATGTATTTCCGAGACGGCCGAAATTTAGGTACTCCTAAGCTATTCAGGTTGCGCACAATGTAGAGTCCTTGTATCTCGATAGTTGATGTGACCAACGTGACCAAGTGAGCTGAGATATATAATCCTCGAGTCCATCAAGGTACAAGGATTACTTATCTCGATCGTCGATATAGGCAAGAAGGTCAAGACGTGAAAAGCATCCTACATCTTGATACGTGACCGCCATGTGCCTTGGTGGCTGAGGTGGTGATATATTGTCATCTCGACCGTCGATATAGTCGAGAGGGTCGAGATGTGGAAAGCATACATCTTGTTACATGATGACCATGTACCTTGATGACATATGGCATGATATGCATCGTGATACGTGATTATCCATTCCTTTTCGGGACACTTTTCTATTTCATTTTTTTTTCTAGACATTAATTAGCTAATTACATTTAAATATGCATTTGTATTAAAGTAAGTAAATAATTCATATTTGAAAGTAATTTATCTTGCATATACAATTTTTTCTAATAAAGATTTATAGGAAATCCATCTATGTTTTGAATATCGGTGCATATATATATAAATCACCATTTTAATCAAAAGCTATTATTTTAATTAAATATAATATAATAAGTTGTACTTTTCATAAATATTAATTTTATTTTGTATAAATGCAATATTATTACAATCAAAAGTTGTTTTATATTTACCTTAAAAATATCCAAATCAAGAAGAATAGGAGAATGACTAAAAAGAACATTGAGCTACATCGACGCTACTTTGCACCCACGAAATTCCTCAACTTCAATAATTTCAAATAACCAATCAACCACTCGATTATGAGATTCCATAACTTTGAAGATTAGGAGGAAGAAGAGGTGCTTAGAAACCAGAGTTTCTCTCTTTAAGGCTATCTCTCTAAATTTTTAGAGAACATAATTTATAAAGTCCAATTTTAAACAGAAATCTTATATGTTTTTTTCAAAGTTAACTCGACTTCTACTCAACAAAATCCAAAACTACCTCAAAACTCAAAGAATTTCTTAATTTCAAAATTTCTCGACATAAAACAATAATAACTCCACAACATATAATTAAATAAAACAACAATAATATTTTAAAACTTAAAGTGTTACAAATACTAATTATATCCAAACATTACGGTACATAATCTATTATGCTGATATTTGAAGAAAGAGTTAAAATTTCAAATTCAAAATTATTATTAGATTTAGTTATACACTTTATTTTAAATATATATATATATATAACAAAAA